GACCAGGGAGCGGCCTCCTTGCCTGGAGGTCCCCGGTCACCAGGTGCTAATGAGGACCCCAGCAGAGAACCTCACTCACGACAGCCCTGTGCCACTGACTCATGTCAACTGTACCTAGCAGCACCACACCAGTGGCCGGGACACACCATCCCCCATCCACCTCCTCTCTTTGGCAACAATACTTTTAGCCACTTCCTGGATTTTTTTCAATACATTCTGGTGAAGCAAAGGGATGGTGAACACTAGGGTAAAAAGAGAAGGCCTTTTTTTTTTTTTTTTTTTTTTTTTTTGCAGACAGAGTCTCACCAGGGCTGGAGTGCAGTGGCGCAATCTCAGCTCACTGCAACCTCCGCCTCCTAGGTTCAAGCGATTCTCCTGCCTCAGCCTCCCTAGTAGCTAGGATTACAGGCACCCGCCACTACGCCCAGCTAATTTTTTGTATTTTTAGTAGAGACCGGGCTTCACCATGTTGGCCAGGCTGGCCAGCTTCACCACCTTTGAGGGAGATCACAGGCCCTGAAATCAAGAAAGACTAGGCCATCAGCAACACCTGTGGATGTCAAGAACCCCCAGGAAAGTATCTAAACCCTCTTATTTCATAGTCCCAGCTCCCAGCTCCCAGCTCCCAGCAGGCCTGATGGCTAAAAGAAAACTTCTTATATACAACTTCATGTTAAGTATGTATGAATATAATATAACAAAATGTAATAAATATAATGTGATGTAAAATATATAATGCAACACAACTAGGGAACCATGCCCAGTTCTAGCAAGAAGTAATAGGTGTGCCAGCTCTTCTCCTACACAGGGATGTATCGCTGCCATTCATTCATTCATCCATTCTTCCATCCACCCATCCATTCATTCTATGGCAAAGCAGCACAGTGGATGCAACAAAGCAAAGCACAAACGTCAGGCTGGAGTCCCAGCTCCACCATCCAGTAGCTCTGTGACTTTGGGTAAACCATCTAATGTCTCTAGGCCATGGTTTCCTCATCTCTAAAAGAAATACAATCACAGTCCCTATAATTAGTATAGTCACAGTGATTAAATGTCTAAATTAATGTGAGTGCTTGGCAAAGAATAAGTCCTCCAAGGTTAATCATAATGACAATAATCATAATAATTACTATAACTATTGAAAACGTTCACTCATCTATAGCTATGTGCCAGGCTCTGGACTAAGCAGCAAATAATTTTAGCCTTCTGATTTTTGCAAGAATCTTTAGTGGGGCATCGGATTTCTCACAGCAACACCTCCAATATAACCTCCCTCTCTTGCCAGGGATGAATGAGGGTGGACGGAAGCACCAGAGCTATTGACAGCATGAGGACATGCCCCCGATCCCCAACCCAAAGCTATGTTTAAACAATTACGAGCATTATGTTGCGGGTACCTACGACTATAAGAGGCCAACCCAGCACGGTGCTTGTCTTGCAGATACATCTTCCACGTGGGTTTTGGGTTACAGCTGGGCAATGCAACGCCACAGAGTGAGTTGCAAAACAAGTTTTCATAAGCTCAAGCCAGGCACAGGCTCATGCTGACAACTCCACAGTAAGATTAAACAGCATGCTTCGTCAGGCACTAAATGCTAACACAGCTCCGACGTCAGGGGGACAATGATTAAAACTGATGTCAATAATTTATGAAACACAATATGGTCTTCAGATGCTCTTTTGAAAAAAGGGAAGGGCAGGGAGGGGGGAAAGGGGCCTAGCAACCCAGGTGGTTTAAAACTGTTCATGCATTTTGCCTTGAATGTACACACACCCCCACCATGCATGGGTACTTCTTTACACAATGAATGTGAATGCACATGTGTATAAAAGCATGTGAACACTGCCGATACATATGGGCGGAAGACAGTATTTAGTTATTCCACTGAGAGCTGTCAAGGCTGTAACGTTATACATAGTCTTGTCTTCCATATTGTTTTGAGGGTTGTTTCTTCCCCCCCTCCGGAAGAAATCCAAAATTGCATTTAAAATATAACTGGGCTTTACGAAAGTTCACATTTTATTCCATAGGGAGCTTGACTTTGAAACAACACCAAAAAGAAAACTGGACCAAAGAAAACATACAGACATGTGCATTTCTTAGTCATCTATAAGGACCATGGCCCTAGGTTGAAGGACTGTTCAGTCAAATGATAATATTGGTAACTTGGTAAATGTTAGGGGGTTTTTGTTGTGGGGGGTGGGAGGGTGCAGGGTTAACCTAGGGAAGGTTACCATTTCAATTTATTATAAATCATGTATCATTATTTTATAAAAGCAAAGACCGAATAGCACAGTAATAGGCCCACTGTTATTAAGACTGATTACAGGAATTTAAAAATATATACTTCTTGACTTTGACGTAGTTGTAAATACTCTGGGTAGCTTGGCTTTGTATGTCAACAGTGTGAAATTCACAAGAAGAGATTATGTTGGGAGGAAAATCTGAGCCTCTGATAGTCCAAAGTTACTTTTGAAGGATTTATTAATGCTTTTTCCTAGCACCGTGCCCTTTAGTATCTCAGAACACCTGTCAAATACTAATTCATTCGCATATCTCCACTACAGGGCCTTTTCATAAAATGCTCGACCTTTCATTGTAAATCACCCCTAAATTGTCCTTGCTGTCTTTCTCTTTTACAGAATGATGGAAAAATCACTAAGACTTCAATTAAGACTTTATGGGAACTTCAATCTGATGTTCCCAGCTACATCTACAAGGTATCAGAACATCTATTCAAAAAGGAAACTATAAATAACTTTAACATAGTTCAATTGGCTTTGCTTTTATGAGATGACTGAATAATTGGCAAGATTTAAAGATACTTTAACTGCTGGGACTTAAAATAACTTCAGTAAAACCCAGAAAAATATTGTTAGCCAATCATTTGTCATGTAGATTATGTACTTATTAAGCCTAATTAAACTTTTTGAACAAAAACGGTTACTAATTACATTAGTTAATATGTTGATTGCTCAATTTAGCCAATAAAAAGAAAAAAGGTCAATCCAATTTGTGTGCATAGTTAGTGTTTTGGTCAAGAGACAAAATCCTAAACTGTAGAGATTATTTCAAGGGCATGACCATCATGATAACAAACGCAGGTTACGTGTCCACATCCAAAGTGACAGCAAGACCTGGGGGTGGATGGTGAATCTGAACAATACCAACGCTAAGACAGATCTTCAAGCCAGTGAAATTTCACCACCGCATCAAGCTTATTCGCCTAAATGTATTCACTTGCATTTGTCCAATTAGACCCTGCTGGTGACAAGACAAAGTTATCTTTCATATGCACATACAAACTAAAACTGATAGCAAAACCCTGGGAATCCCTTTAAATGTCAATAAAGGGCTTTTACGCACAAAGGGAAGAAAAGAAAAGAGGAAGGAGGGGGAAAAGAAGAGATGGGAAAAACCAACATTTCTGAGGGAATTGAGCAGATCAAAGGAATTTTATTCTAGAAGACCACTAAGTCAGAGTGTAACTACTTTCCTCTCTCTCTCTCTCTCTCTCTGCGAAATCTTGAAAAGTGTCTTCAGACTAGTTCTGATCCTTAAAAGAAAGAGGACACACAACAGAGCAGGACACGAGTGTAAAAATGGAGGCCTCCCGTGCAACAGGAGGCGGGAGGCCCAGCGTCTTCAGACCAGGACGTCTGACTGGGCCTCTGCGGCCACCCGGCCCTCCAAGACATGTTTTCCATTCCCTTGCTCAAAACTCTGCATCCACAGTCATGAGGCACAAACTATTCGACAACAACATGACACAATTAATCAGAACCAGATCTCAAAACGTGTGTTTGTGGGGACCAGCAAACTTTGTAATGTGCCTCAGAGGGCAAAGCAATGGAAGAGCCTCACACTGGCTGTTTGAGATGGGGAGAGGGAGAGGAAAAATCTGTACGTTCATAAAGGATGCACACCCAATGGGACATTTACAGACTAAATAATTTTCACTGAAATAAATGTGGGATTTGGAGCTTTGCTTCCCATACTGAAAAAAGTAAGGCGTAGTCTTGCTATCTCCCCTCACCCTTTTTCTTTCCTTTTTTTCTTTCTTCCTTTTTTTTTTTTTTTTTTTTTTTTCTGGGGAGAAACTGATTCCTGAGAGCTTCTGCAGCAGCGAAGTTGTCCAATTCAGAAGCAGAACGTATCCTTCTTAAGCCTCATTTCTGACCCAGCCGTATTTACCCGGTTTTGTCAGATTTCTCTTTCAGGAAATGAAACCCTATTTAAACAGTGAGAAGCTGGACCCTTAGTTAATTCAAAACTGTTTAATTTCACCAAAGCCTGAAGCTAACAAAAAAAGAAAACCTGGTATACTTTTTTAGACTAAAATTGAATTCATTCAAAATAATTACTGAACGCTCCTTGGTAATCGGTAGATAGTAATTAATTGAAATCACATCACTCTTCTTTTGCTAACACAAACACGCTGTTCAAAAGAGAGACAACAAAATAGTTTCAAACCATGAAGACAAATGGAGGGCAGGAATGATACTCGTCGGGCATCGAACTGACCCCAAACCGCAAATAGTTCTTTGCCATCTCCCAAGGGATTTGTAGATGTGGAGTTGGAACTTCCCGGGAACAGGGCCGGGGTCCCCAACCGCGAGCCCAGCTGCAGCCTTGGGAAAGGGGGGTGGGTGGAGGTGAATCACAGCGTCCAAACGAGGGGGAAGGCAATGAATGTTTGCGTTTGGATCCAGGGTCAGCGGAGACCTGTCTGCAAATGTTCTGCCAAACCCCCTCCCGGGAACATTTCTCCTGCTGCTTCTTGGCTTCGCAGAGAGCACTGGGCCCAAATTCAGGCGTCCACCACGAGGGCCACGCGAGCGAGTGAACCTGCTTTCAGCCCTCCCGGGTCCCGGGCATCCGCGAACGCGCCTCCCCCAGTTCCCACGACCCGCGCTCCTAAGAACCCGCCGCTGCGAGGCCCAGCACCTCCTGCCCGCGCCCCCACCCGCCGCCGGCTCCGCCGCCGCACCCCACTCACCCACGCACTCGTTGGCTTCGCGGGCCGTGGCGCGCTGCCAGGGCCGGTCGTAGTGGAAGGGCTTACAGCGGTCGCATTCCGGGCCGGCCGTGTTGTGCCTGCAGTCGCACACCAGGCTGTCGTCGCGGTCGCGCACGCAGCGGGCCGCGTGGCCGTTGCACTTGCACCGGCCGCCCACCTGCAGGTCGGACACCGCGTAGAAGTACGAGTCGCGCGCCAGCTCCGAGTCGTCCTCGTTCTCATCGCCGAACGTGTGCAGGCGGCTGAAGGCCACGCGAATGTCGGTGGCCGTGACCCAGTCCTGCAGCACGGGCGAGTTGTCGAAGTCGTGCGCCGAGGGCCGCCCGTCCAGCGTGCTGAAGGCGATGAGGCCGCCCGAGAGCGGGCGCATGTCGGTGTGCGAGTCGGTGCACACGGCCTCCTGCTCATTCTGCTTGGTGATGGGCGCGCGGTGCGGCCGGTTGTACATCTTGCGGCACTGTGTGGAGTAGAACTGGAAGGGCACCCACGTGCGCCCGTAGTCCATGGACTTGTAGATGGCCATGGACTCGGGCCGCGGCGAGCAGAACTGCAGGCTCACGTAGGTCACTTCGAACTTCTTGCCGAGGGACAGTGTGAGCGTGACGTTGTGCGGGAACTGCAGGTAGTTCTCGGACTGCCAGCACGTCAGGTTGTGCGGGTTGTTGAGGTCGGTGAGGTAGGCGGGTGGGTGCGCCTTCTTGGGGTCGGACGCGTTGCAGAGGTGGCACGAGCGCAGCCGCTCCTCGCCGCGCTCGCTCACCACGCAGTAGCGCGCCGGGGGCCGGCCGCAGGTGCTGGACACGCGCACGTCCTTGCCGAAGGCCGCATTGACAAAGTCCGGGATGCAGCGGCGCGGGTGGCCGTTCTCGTCCGAGCAGGGGTCGGGCTGCGCCGCCTGGCCCGCGAACATGCTGAGCCCGGGCCCGCCGCGCACCGCGCCCACCAGGCACGACACCGCCGCCAGCGCCGCCAGCGCCTCCCACACTGCGCGCATCATGCTGCGTCCAGCTTGCCCCGGCCCTGCCGCGCCGAGGATCGGTCCGCCTGCCGCAGAAGGCGCCTGCGGAGAGAAGAGAGCTGCGCTCAGCCAGCCGGCCCCGCGCCCTCTAGTTCTCGGCGGGGTGGCGAGCGGGGATGCGGCCGAACGCCCGGCTTCCTGGGCACCCACCCCGCAGCCGACTGCCCGCCTCTCTCCCACAAAGTCCCGCGGGCGGCGAAGCCGGGGCCCTCCAAGCCCGCACCGCTCGCGCCCCTTCTTCCCCGCCCGGCGGGAGAACGCTCTGCTTCCCCGCCACCGCCGCCTCCACGCCGCCCGAGGGGCATGCCTGAGCCGATCTCACCGTCCGCAGCCAGCCCGCCTCGCACCCCAAGTTTCGGGCGCAGGAGAGCTGGGGGACCCCGACTCCGGACGGCCCGCGTCCCTTCCTCTCGCAGCCCGGGGTCCCTCTCAGATGCCCCCTGATCGCGTCCCCACTGGAAAGTCCGCGTTGGGGACTTTACCTCTGGAGGGGGCAAAAGAGAAAGAAAAGTTTGCCTGGCCCCGCCAGGGAGCCCGCGCGCCGGTCGCCGGAGAGCCTCTCGCTCGCTGCTAGCAGGCGCGTCCCGCCTCAGCGCGGGCTTGCCAGCTCCATGCCCGGCGCGGCCGCCGCTGCCCCAGCCCCGGCCCCGGCCCCGCCGCCGCCGCCGCCTCTCTCGCCCGAGTGACTACGCGGCCGCCCGGCTCCCGCCGCTCCCGCCGCTCCCGCCGCGCTCGGAGTGCTGCCCTGCCCGCGCCCCGGGCGCACACACTCACGCTGGCCGGCGCGCACTCACACACACGCGCGCTCGCCCCCGAAGGCTCCGCCGCAGCCGCCGCCGCCGCCACTCGCGCTGGGAGTGAGGGGCGGAGGGGAGCGCGGGGGCGGGGGGCGGGGCCGCCGGGCGGGGCGCCGGCCAATAACGTCCGCGAGCTGCCGCCAGCTCCGAGCAAAGTTTTCACCCCGGGAAAGAAGAAAGTTAAAGAGAACCCGCCCGGGACGCCCAAGAGGGAGAGCACGGGCGGGTGGGAACCCGGGAGCCCGAGAAAGAACAGCAGAGACAAAGAGAAAGCGAGGAGAGAGCCCGGGGAAACCCCGGAGAGGGGGCTGGGCCGGGCCGGGCGCGCACCCCGTGGGGGAGGAGGGGCCGCCGAGGACTGTCAGCCTCGCCCCGGCCCCGCGCCGCCCGGAGAGCCCCGCGCCCGGGGGAGCGCGCGGGCGGGGGGAGGGGGCCACTCTCTCCCTCCGGGTCCCAGCCAAACACATCTGTGTTTGTTTTCTTTGCTGCGCGGAGGTCGGGCCTTCCTCTAACCCAGTCTGATGGCCCCGGTGGCACCGCGCACAGGGCCGTGCCCCTGTGGGCACACAGCCCGGGAGCGTGAGGAAGAGGAGGAGGATGTGACCTCTGCCTGCTCTCCATTCTTTCCCGAAGCCCCGGGGGTCCGGCAAGGAGGGGCTGCTCGCCCGCACTCCCACGGATGTCACCGTGCGTGAGCCTGTCTGTCGGGAACGCGGCTTCGTTCTGGCCAAGGGAGCTGTGGTGGGCCGGAGGCTGAAGGGGTAGGAAGCCGGCAGCACCTGGACGCTAGCCACAGCCCCTCCGAGACGGGCCTGCCTGGTCTCAGGCATGGGGACAGCCCAGCCCTCCCCAGATCCCCTGAGGCAGGCCTATTGGTACTTTCTCAACCGCATTTATAAGGGTGCAACGCCCTGTACTAACTCATGGGACCTCCACAGCAGCTTTGCTGTTGTATTAACTCCATTTTGCAGATGAGGAAACCGAGTGTCTCGGGAGCTGAAGAAATTCGCACAAGATCAACCCTCAAGTAAACATCAAACCCAGGAAGAGAAGCCTGGGCTCCTTCCACTGTAGGGCATGTGTCAAATGGATAACCCTGCCGAATGATGGTGTCATGGGGCATCTGTGGGACCACCCAGCCCCTCCTTGCCTCATTCTCCGTCACCCCAACAAAAAGACTGAGGACAGTGACAGCATCCTTTGGCCATCTTGCAACAGCAGCCAGAGAGCTCTGGGAAAGGAATACACTGGGCCAAGAGTTTGGAACGGAATCTCTGCTCGTTTATTTGTTAGTTGTAGATGTGTGGTCCAGTAATAGACCCGGATGAAAAGCCCCAGGTCCTAGTTCTGACCCAAGGGCTGCCTTGCTGCTTTAGTGCCTCAGTTTGTCTTATTGGCATTTTCATAAGCCCTGAGAATCTAAGAGGGGGCCTCGGGGCTCATCTGGCCCAGCTCCTTCTCCTTGGAAGAAGGCCTTCCCCAGTCTCCCAGAGAGACGGCCACCCAAGCCAGCTCTTCCAGGGATGGGAGCTAACCACAGCCCAAGAAAATACATCCATTCCATTGCAGGATAGCCTGGATTCATCTTCTCACCACCCAGGGTAGCACTTTAGCTTTGCCTTCTTGTGCCATTTACCACACTCCAGACTGTTTATTTATGCCTTGCCTCACCTTGTGGCAGAAAGGATTTCAGGTAACTTACAAGGGTACATAAAATATGACAAAATAACAAAAGTGAGGTCAAGGGAAATAAATGAAATGGTTAACCATGGTGGCCTGTGAAATCGCAATGGTATACTGAAAGGCAGCGTAGCTCTTAGGAGGAAACGCTTTGGAGCCAGGGTACCTACGTTCAAATTCTGCCTCAGCTGTGTGACTATGGCAAGTCTATGCCTTGGTTTCCTCCGTCTGTACAAGGGAGATAATACAATCTACCTCACTGGGTTGTGAGCATCACGTGAGTTGACACATTAGAATATTATAGCTGATGAGATATAGACATACAGATTGCAGTTCTGTAACACATATAAATATGCCTTCTCATATATGCAAATGTAAATATGCATAAAGCCAGCCACATAGTACATGCATTTAGAAATGTTAGCTGCTAGTATGAGATCACTTGATACATACAGAAATTTTAAATCATTTAAAGAACACTTAATTACAGGGAAAGATGTTCATGACATAATATGAAAAAAGCAAATTAAAAACACATATGCACAGTATAATCTCATTTTTATTTTTTAAAAAGTATGCATAAAAAGACAACACAGTTAATTGTGGTTATCTCGGGATAGTGAGATTACAGGTGATTTTTATTTACCTTTGCTGTATGTTCTCAATTTTGCACAGTAAAATATGAAGTAAGAGAACAAAGAAAAGCTAAGAAGGGAGACAGAGTCAGGATGAGAATGCAGGTCGAATGCACCCTGGAGTTCCAACCTCTACACCTCTTCTGGGTGGGCCACAAATTTGTCCTTAAGCTTTCCTGCAGCTAAAATGAGGAGACCATGTTCATTACACAATTCCCAGAGTCCATGAGATACAAGCAGACCTACTGCTCAAGGGAATTACAACTATCCTTGGTACTAAAATCAGATAGGAATTTCTCGCGGGGGCGTGGCCCAGAAAGGGAACACAGTGCAGGGTAATAAGCTTGGTGGGACAGTTTCTGTGATCCCCCTGAATGTAAGCTGATGGCATCGCACCAAAACCCAAGTCAGGAAAAGACATTCCAGCAAGGAGGAATGGAAAAGAAGCAAATTGGGGTGCTCAGTGCCACACACCTGACTGCGGTACATTTTGGAGCATCTACAAGACTGGATTGTGAGGTACTTTCCAAGCCTTCCTCCTGAATGTTGTTTCTGTCCACAGAGCTTTTTTTTTTTTTCTTTTTTTTTTTTTTTTTTGAGACAGAGTCTCGCTCTCTTGCCCAGACTGGAGTGCAGTGGCGCAATCTCAACCTCTGCCTCCCGGGTTCAAGCGATTCTCCTGCCTCAGTCTCCCAAGTAGCTGGGATTACAGGCACCTGCCACCACACCTGGCTAATTTGTTTGTATTTTTAGTAGAGACGGGGTTTCACCGTGTTGGCCAGACTGGTCTCAAACTACTGACCTTAAGTGATCTGCCGGCATAACTGCAACCTCCGCCTCCTGGGTTCAAGCAATTCTCCTGCCTCAGCCTCCCGAGTAGCTGGGATTACAGGTGCCCACCACCACACCTGGCTAATTTTTTTTGCATTTTTAGTAGAGACGGGGTTTCATCATGTTGGCCAGACAGGTCTCAAACTCCTGGCCTTGTGATCTGCCCACCTCGGCCTCCCAAAGTGCTAGGATTACAGGAGTGAGCCACTGCGCCTGGCCTATGTCTGCAGAGCTCTTGATGGCCTTTGCATGGCAGTGAGTTTGAAATGGCTCTCGGTGGACTGTGGCTTTTCTATGTTGCCAGCTGAGCTTAGGCCAGGGGTCTTCAGGAGAGGATGAGCAGGGTCACCTTCCAAATTTATTGTGGTCATTTAGGTCTATTCTTATCATCTTTAATAGTTCCTGGTGGGCAGAACTGTCTCACTCACCTTGTATCCAGGAGGTCTGGAACCTTCTGTAATACAGTGGAACTCCTCTACGTCCATTCAAAACCCCCTCTCTGTTAAGTCTGCAGGTGGCTCAAACGCTACCCTACACAGCAGCCCAGATCAAGGTTCTCTGCCTCTTCAGATTTTTGAAACCAGTCCTCTATCACCCCTCGGTTTTCTCTCTTCTGGGCAAAATGTTCCCAGTTATCTTAATGATTTCCCATGGGACATTGTTTTCTGACCACTCTACAGCCTCTCCCATCCCCTCTAATTCATCAGTGTCCTTTCCTAATGCAGCCTGTCTTTTGAGGGGACAAATGAAAAAAACAGATGTCCAAGTGTTGTGAGAGCTTCTCAAAGTGGCGGTGATAAATACACACCCGCGAAGGCATGTCAGGCTCTGAGCAGCGGGATCCACGGAGCAAACTGGAGTTCAAAACCCAACAGTGCAGATTTTGGGTGAGAAAGCAAATCCCCGGGGTGTTTCTTCAAGGAATGTGTTGAGAGGCGGAAACGCCCTTGCTGGCACACTGTCTTACCTGTGAAGCCAGACGGATCACCCTAGGAGGGGGAGAATGCGGCAGTTTCAAGAAAACTTTTAAGTAGCCAGAGTAGGAGGAGGAAAACCAGGAGACTCGGATGTTATAGAAACCAATGGGTAAGAGTGTTGCAAGGGAGGAGGTGGTGTTGAGCAGCGCTGAGTCACATGCCTTAAAGGTCAAGATAAGATCTGAAACAAGTCCTTTGGATCAAACTACAAGGAAGTCATTGGTGACCTTGACTAGCGGTTGCAGGGAGTGGTAGGGACAGAAGCCAGGCTGCCTGGGGTTGTGGAGTGAACAGGGAGGTGAGAAAGTGGAGATAGCAGGTGTAGACAACTTTCAAGAAAGTGTGAATATAAGTGGCAGGAAAGATACAGGGTCACAGCAGGAAGGTGACATAGGATTGAGGGAAGGTTGGGATTTTTTATTGTTGTTTGTGAGATAAGGCTATTTGACCATGCCTAAATGTTAATAGGAACTGGAGCCAGCAGGAGGAGAGAGGTGGAAGGCAGATAAAACTATGCTTGTAAAACTGGTGGTCAGGTGGTCTCCAAGTATCTCTTGTTTCAATGAAATAGGAAGTGACACCATCTGCTGAGGATGGGTGGGGGAGCTGGGAGCACTGGAGGTTTGAGGTCATTACAGAGAAGAGGATAATGCTTGCCGGGCAGAGTCAAAGGATCTATTGAAG